TTAAGTTGCTTCCAAGTAGCCACTGACCTTTTTATTGCCTCTAGAGTTTTGCCTTTCCTAGAATGTCTCATAGTTGAAATCACATAACTTAAAACATTTTTAGATTGGTGCATTTAAGTTTCCTCTATGTCTTTCATGACTTAAGAGCTCATTTCTTTTAGGGCTGAACATATTCTATAGCCTGGATGTACCACAGTTAATTTATCCATTCATCTATTGAAGGACATCTTGGTTGCTTCCAAGTTTTGGCAATCAGGAATAAAGCTGCTATGAATATCTGTATGCAGGTTTCTATGTGGAAATAAGTTTTCAACTCATTTGTGTAAATACCTAGAAGCAAGATTCCTAGGTGATATGGTAAGAGTATGTTTAGTTTTATAAGAAACTGCCAAATTTCTTCGAAAGAAGCTGTACCACTTTGCACTCCCACCAGCAATAAATGAGAATTCCTGTTGCTCCACGTCGTCATCAGCATTTGATATTGTCAGTGTTTTGAATTTTGGCCATTCTAATAGGTTTGTAGTGGTATCATATTGTAGGGCAATGACATATGATGTTGAGCATCTTCTCATATACTTATTTGTCATTTATATATCCTCTTTGATGAGGTGTCTATTTGGGTCTTTTACGTAATTTTTACATCAGGTGGTTCTTTTTTTTTTTTTACTGTTGAGTTTTCAGAGTTCTTTGTATGTTTTGGATAACAATCCTTTATCAGATATGTTTCTCACAAATACTTTCCCCCACTTTTGACTGCCTGAACCAGTAAATGCCCTTTTTGTTTCAGAAGAGTTGGTTTTCTGTGACCTGATATATCTCTTTACAATGGACTCTGGTCATGGCAGGCAATAAATAATTGACATCTTGGTGGGAGGGTACAGCTCAGTGGTAGAGTGCGTGCTTAGCATGCATGAGGTCCTGGGTTCAATCCCCAATACTTCCATTTGAAAAAAAATTTTACAGTAAATAAGTAAACCTAATTGCCTCGCTCCTCAAAAAAAATTGATATCTTTACTACTGTTAATATATTTCTTAGAATTTACATTATATGTTTTCTCTTTAAAAGGATTTTTTAAAACATTCAGTTTCAGAACTGGGTTTTTAAAAATTAGTTATGCCAAGATTTCCCTATTTTGGAGTATTTATTTCATGTCATCTCTTACTGAGAAAAAGAAGAAGAAGGGTGGTGGGGGCAGGAGTAGGAGGAGGAAGGAGGAAGAGACATAGTGGTATTTCAAAACCCAAACATTCTCAGAAATGCAATCCTGTTGCTTTTGACACACAGAACGCAACTTGAATATGTATACAGTAATTGAGTCATGGCTTTTTTTCACTGTCATAACTAAAGACATTGCGCCTTTGTCTTCTGGATGTTTAGTGCTACAGAGAAGCCTCAGGTCAGACAGACTTCTGTTCCCTTTTAGGAAGCATTTTAACTTTGTTGAGATGTTTCCTTTAAGTCACACGTTTTGTCAGGATGGATCCAGGTTCAGCTCACTTTTAATACTTCACCTGGGATACAGGATGCCCTCCAGGCTGCTAACTCAAGTGGATGGACGCCCAGGGAAGCCTTCTCCCGGCACAGATCTGTTATCTGTGTGGATGCTTCCACCAGCCCTGTTCTTGTCTTTGGGAGCAGCTGGATTCCTTCCCTTTCCTCTCTGTTCTCCCTGTCACCTTCCCTTCTGCTGCTTTCATTGCTGGTCCTTTTTTTTTCCCCCTAGTCTTTTGGTCCTTTTCCTGTGAATTTTGCTCAAGTCTGTCCTCTGTATCCCTCACCCACTTGGTCTCACTTTGAGTTCTCTTCTTCGGTGCTGCCAACGTGAGCTTCAGCACTCTGTGCATTTTGAGTTTCCGTGCAATTCTCCTTCTTCTCCCTCAAAAAGATGCTGGTGCCTTCTCATCTCAGCCTTTTCTTCCTTAATGTCCTCTGCTCTTCCTTCCAGGAGAGTATAGTGAAACCCTTCCTGAAAATTCCACCTGAATCCTACAGTAAATATTTCTCAAGAGTTCTCTTTCTTTCAGTCCTCGGGATGATGTGCCTCTTACCTTGTTTTGAGGAAAATTTTCAGAATCTCCATGGTGGCGTTAACATTACTAACATTATTTCATGTACACAGAAGTGTAGAAAATATAATATAAATGAATACCTGTGGGCCATCCCCACACACAACTTTTCTTTTCTATCTTTACTTAGCTTGAAAAGTAGTACCACCTCTCAGACTCAGGACTGATGAATGTGAGAAGAATATGCACCTTGCTCTTGGCCCTACTCCGGGTCCACCGGGACAACGGCTGACTCCCCTCTCCAGGCCCACAGTGGGAAGGCTTGCTATGCGGCCATCACAGCTGCTCAAGTAACTCAACATCACTTCTGGTGACTCTGCAGAACCTCTCCTCATCGCCTTACCTTGACCCAGGTTCTCCACCTCTACTCCCCAGTCCATGTGCTTCTTTCTCCTGTGCTGTTTTTGAATAACTGTCTTCTACACATTTCTCTTCTCATGGCTTCTGCTTATTTACCGTTTCAGTTGCCTCACGGTTTTTTTTCAAGCCCTGCTTTCATACTTCCCTCAGTTCTAATGACTCTCTCAGGTGGTCTGTAGTCACCTTTCCTAAGAATGATGATCCAATATGTTGATCAGTCATCATTCAGTGAGGGTTCCTCTGTTAGGTGAGTTCTCACCTCAAGCTACCTCACAGGTCTCCGGTTTCAAGTCTGCTTTTGGTCAGCTAATCATTCTTGGATCAATCAGCTGTGGCCCGGATAATGGGGTCTGTGTCAGTCAGCTACTGCTGTGGAACAAAAAAATCCCACAAAGTCTTAGTGACTTACAAGTACAAGCATTTACTTCACCCAAACGTATATGGATTTGTTGAAAGTCAGTTGATGTGGGCTGGGATCTGATCAGGGGCTTTTCCTTGTACCTTATACCTTCCTTTTACCAGCGGGCTAAATTGGGCATGTTTCTCCATGGCAACGATGGGGCACAAGCTGTCAAGTAGCAACACACAATGCCTCTTGAGACTGAGGCCCAGAACAGGAATATTGCCAATTCTGCCCACCTTCCACTGTGCCCATAGGGTGGGAGGTATAATATACCTCTAGAGGGAGAGGCTACAAAATGATATAGCAAAGAGCAGGAGGGATTTATGAATTGGAGCAAATAGTTCAATCTTTATCACAGGATCAGATGGTCAGGTAGCCATAAGCCATAAAGCTAAGCATCATAAACCATCTGTACAGAACCCCTCAAAGACGGCTTCTGGGATGACAGGCAGTCTGAGGTTTCTCAGAAAGAGGCAAGGTGACAAGATTACGAATATTTTTGCAACACTTACAAGCAACCACTACCAGGATTTAAACCATGCCATCTAAAACACAGGAGGGATAGGAAGGGATAAATTGGGAGTTCAAGATTTGCACATACTAACTACTATATATAAAATGGATGCACAACAAGTGTCTTCTGTATAGCACAGGGAACTGTATTCAATGTCTTGTAGTAATCTGTAATGAAAAACAGTCTGAAAATGAATACACGTCTATGTATGACTGAGGCATTATGCTGTACACCAGAAACTGATGCAACATTATAAACTGACTGTACTCCAATAAAAAAGTAAAATAAATAAAACACAGGAGGATGTAAAAACTTTCATAAAAAGAGAGAGAAAATTTAATGGACAGAGTCATCAGAAACAACATGGAAGAAAATATAAAGCACTAAACGATACAACAGGAGCAAAACCAAACATCGGTTACCACAGGAACGGTCTATGAGCCAGGATCAGGGAGATGCCAAGCATTTCCTTTTTTCAGATATCCTCTGATTCAAGGAATAACTTCCTCGTAGATTTTTCTGTCCGGCTCCTCTGTCTTATCAACAGGAGGAGTCCCTCCCAGATTTTGGCACTCAGTTTGAGCTGTAAGCACTCACCATTTTCCATGTCTCTGTAGCGGTTTGAGAGGGCTGCTGGGACAAGCTACCTCAGAGGCCACTAGCTGGACATCACTTCCTGCGTGATACCCTCATCACGTGCTCTCTGAAGCCTCGCAGAACTTCCTGCCACCCTCATCTCTCCAAGGGCACCACTATCCTACATCCTACATCCTATTTTGTAGGATGTTGCTCCCGAGCCTCATATATGAGTCTCATGCACACAACTGTGAATCCCTATACTCTCCAGCATGAGGCCCTGTCCACAGCAAGGGCTTAATGACCTCATCTCCGTATCAGAAAAGACTTTTTATATTGCAGTTGACGGAAACACAAAGTGAGTCCCATAATCAAAACTTTCCAAGGAACAATCAGGCTTCAGGCACGGCTGGATCTACAAGTTCGAATGACGTCATCAAGACTCGGTCCCTCTCCCAAGATTTGATCGTTCTTTCCTCTGCATGGACTTCACTCTCCAGCAGGCAGGCGACAATATGCCACCAGCAACGGCAGCACCACGACAAAAAACAGGACTTCAACCTCAGATTGCCAACAACAAAAACCAGAAATTGGTTCTCACGGGATTGGCTTGGATCACGTGGCCATCACTGAATCAAATATGGAAGCCAGGGAGATGGATGCTCTAATCAATCAGACCTCAGTCGAGAGCCCGCCTTACAGAGGGTGGCCTCAAAAGGAGGAGGGTTCAATAAGAACAAGGAGAAACGGAAGGAAGACAAATGTCCACCACTATTTTCTTAGTCATTTTCCAGGAGGAACCTTCCCTATGGGACTAACAGAGATGATGAGGCCGCAGTATATCTGTTTAGGGCATCCTTGTTTACAAAATGCTTCTCTCAATGTCCCATTTAATCCTCACCACCAACCGAGAGCCAAGGGGCATCAGATGAGGCAACGGAGTCTTAGAGACTTGGCCAAGTCCCAGAGCAGGTAAGGAGCACACAGAGGGCCTGTGGAGAGGTGTGTGTGCAGAAAAAGAGGAAGAGCACACTAACGCCAGACAACTTCCTCTGCGTGTCACGCTCCCCCACCTCCTCCCCTTTGCCTGTGTCTTTGCAGCAGCCCCGGGTTGTTTGGTGCCTCTGTCCCTTATCATCAGCTCCTGCCAGCTGCACCGCACCTCCTCCCCGACCTTTGCTCGAGGCTTGTTTTCCTCTGGGTCCCGGGGAGCTCGGGCTCACTTTCACTCAAGGCCGGTCCTGCCCAGACACTTCACCATGTGCACGGGGAAGTGTGCCCGCTTTGTGGGGCTCTCCCTCGTCTCCCTCTCCCTGATCTGCATCACGGCCAACGCTCTCCTGCTGGTGCCCAACGGGAAGACCACTTGGACCAAGGATCACATCAGCTTGCAAGTCTGGCTCATGGCCGGCTTCATCGGCGGGGGCCTGATGGTGAGAGGGCTGGCCTGAGAGCACAGGCCAGGGGCCTGGGTGCCCTTCTCCAGGGTTCTGAACAGGAGGGAGAGGGAGAGAAGGAAAAGGATAGCTGCCAGATGGCAGTGCTTGCTGGGGACCTGGAGCCTGTCCAGTCTGCCCCCAAACACTGAGCGCTCTGTAAGGGAGGTTCTGGAGGGGCCCTGGGGTCCTGAGCTGAATGTCTGAGGGGAAGGAGCCTCGCTGCTCTAAACAATTACCTCCAGGGTAGGGACTATGGCCTACCTGCACCCACCCCACCCCAAGCACCGTCCCCCATCCCCACTGCCTGGCAGATGCTGGGAACACTGGCTACCAGCGTTGAGGCAGAAGGAGCAGCTGACTGTGTGGCAGGTTGTCGGGGCAAGATAATGATGGGCTTGGCGGTGGAGGGCAGGTGCATGACAGTGTCTGGAGTCAGGCAGCGATGTCACAGATCAGCTTTGGTGTCACCTCCCCCGCCCCCATGTCCATTCGCTCTCAGCACACGTTCTCGATGCCCACTCTGCACTGGGCGCCATGGATAAACTCAGAACCTGGGTCCAGATGCTGGAGAAGGGTGGGTCCTGGCGGCTTCCTGGAGACTAGAATCTGTCAGCAGGAGTGGGGGACGGGGAGACACAGATTTCCTGGACTTCCTAACCCCCATTAGCCACCCCCTCCCCATTTAGGGGAACTTTCTGGAAGGTCCAGAGAATTTAACATCTTCATGGCATGAAGACAAAAAATCTACCCAGTACAGTTCCCCACTCCTCAGGATGGCTGGCTGATGAACTTCTCCGGGGGATGCCTCGCCTGTGTCTTTTTTGCTGGCCACACCTTCCTTAGCTAAAGGGGGAGACCTCTTCTCCGTCACTCAACAGTCCCCTCTCACCCGTCCGTCCGTCTGTCTGTCTGGGTCTTTTCTCCCACTCCCCCTCCCGCACGGATTTATGGCCATTGGACTCCACTCCATAGCTCTGACCTCAACTGTCTCTGAGACATCACACTCCTCCCAGGCTGACACACTCACCCTCCGTCAACATCACACCCCTTCTCCAGCCTCGATATAAAGCGCCACAATCTTATCAGCCTGCCTCTGGGGAGATTCCCAAGGATGCCCTCTCCACTTGCTCACTCCCAGCAACCCTCTTGCTGCCACCCTTGAGAATGCTTTGTCAAATGTAGTCACATGGTCTGTGCTACCCCACAGGGACACGGGCGAGGTCCCCGCTCTCCCTGAGGCCAGTGAGCCCACTAGGGAAACACACAGTAGGAAGCGAGACCGTAAGCCCTGCTTGTTGTGTTGGCTGCTACGCGCCTAGGCTAGTGCCTTAACCTGCGCTCTGTTAACACTGTGCAAAGACACGAGCAAGGGCCCATCTAGAAAACAAAGCAGGATGTGGTCATAAAGAACTTTGAGGGCAAGGTGGGGGGCCACTTTTTATAGCATTTTCAAGAAAGACCTAGATGACATGATGTCTGAACTGAGATCCAAATGACAAAGAGCAGGACTCGGTGTAGCAGACAGGGGGACCGGTGCAAAAGCCTGAGGCAGAAACAGGCTCTCGCAGCGAGAACCAGACAGGCGGCCAGGGCAGCTGAGGTCTAATGAGATGAGATCTCAGGTGGGCAGAGGTCACAGCACCCCTGAAAGGCACAGTGAGGAACTGGAATTTTCTTATAAGTACCCAGAAAACTACTGATGGAATTTTTACCTTTTTTTTTTTTAAACTTCTTAAACTCTGGGGGGAACTTTTTATTTAAGTCATACAGACAAATGCCTAGCTCCTTCATATACTGCTCAGTGAATTTTTACAAAGGGAACACACCCATGTACTTGGCACTCAGATCAAGACAGGGGTCATTACCAGAATCCCAGACATGCCTCCCACCAGGCATGAACGCCCCACCAACAACGACTTCACTATCCTGACGTCTACATCGTTGATTAGTTTCGCCTGTTCAGCACTTTATATAAACGGAAGCGTGCAGCATGGACACTTCTGTGTCTGGTTTCTTGAGCTCAATATTATGTTTGTGCGATTCATCCACATTATTACATGTAGTCGTGGTTTATGATTTCTTATGCGTTCCATTGTGTGAATAGATCACAATTTACTTTAACATTCTACTGTTGAGGGACACTTGGAGAGTTCCCAATGTGGGTTTATTACAAATAATGCTCTAGAAACATTCCTGTAAATGTCTCTATGTGAATGTACGATTGTATTTTTGTTGAATATATACCTAGGAGGAAAACTGTTGATTCTTAAGGTATGCAAATGTTCAGCGCTCACAGACAGCGCCAAAGAGTTGTCTGAAGTGCTTATATTAATTGCATTCCCATCAGCCAAGTCTGAGATCTACTTAGTCCATTTTCTGTTGGATTTAAGAAGACCTCTCTGGCTACTGGGTGGAGAAGGGACAGCAGGAGGTCAGCAGTGGACCCAGACTGAGGTCACTGCAGTTGCCCAGGGGAGATGATAGTGGCTTTCGACTAAGGCCAGCAGCCATGGAGATGGAGAAAAGTGAACAGATTTGAGCTATAAACTCAGTGTTTCTGTTACGGAAATGACAGGCCAGCAAGAAACAAGCACCACTCAGAGAGCTGGAGTACTCAGATGTATTACGCCGGCGGGCTCAGAGGGGCTCCTGCTCTGAAGCTCTCAGCACCTCCAAGATGTGTGCATGAGGTTTTATAGGGTTAATTACAAGCTTGGGGTATTCGGCCAATAGGCGTGGAACAGCTTTAGCAGCATCATTATCACAAAAGTAGAGGCAGGGAAGGAGCAAACCAATTTTTCAAGGCCAGATATGCCTCTTTGAGAATCCAGCTGGCTAGCAAAAACAAAAAAACAAAAAACAACAACAACAACAAAAAAAACCATGAACAGGGAAGCAGCAAACCGACACCAATTAACTTCGATTTACGAGTTAGCCCAGCAGAACGTAGATCAGTAATCCGACACCTGTTGCACTTAGATTTGTGAGTTAGCTTATTAGCCCAGCCCGGCTTTTCCTTCACATTTCCTCTTGCGTTTTCAATGATCCTTCTCTTTTTGATCAGAGGAGATCACAGAAAGCGAGACAGAAATGCAAACAAGAGGAGACAAACCCTTTGACTAGAAAAGTAAACATCTCAAGTGGGGAGGTCATTCAAAATTGGTGAATCCAAAAGGTAAATCCAAATTCCAGGGATTTCTGGATCCAGGAACTTCCGAGTAAGTGCCAGAGAGGCTCAGCACGGAGGCCAGCACTGACCCTAGATCTGCCGTCAGACACGTGAGAGCAGGGAGCATCTGGTGGAAAATTCATTCAGTTCTGCAGGTGTTTCTGTAATGTTGCTGTGGACTCTATTATGGAACTAAAACTCACTCAGCTCAGACTCAGACAAGGCACCCAAGGAAGCACAGATCCAAATAGCTGTGGAATTCCAGAGAACTTGGCCTGGGGTAAAAAAGATAAGGCTGGAGCCAAAGTCAGGAGCCTTGAATTCCTTCCTCAAATTCAGTCTTGATGGGTTTCTCTTTGAGGAGACCCTAAGGGATTGGATCTGGGAAAAGATCAGTTGAAAACTAAGTTTAATCTGATGGTAGTAATGTAGGATGGAGTGGCGGGGGAGCACAGGGCAAGAGCTACAGAAACCTAGTATGGAGGTTGAGCACATCATTCTCATGGGAGGTGATTAGGGATTGACAGTGGGGAAGAAGAAAGGACTGACAGATTCAAGACCCACTGAAGGAAAGGAATGCCCTTCAGGCAGGTTTGAATTTGGAGGCATCGATTTATGAGGGAACTTTTGTTACAGGGAACAGCTGATGTCCTAAGAGGGGCGGGGCTATAGGAGAAAGAAAGACAAAGAGGATCAGGGCTGTACCTTGGGGATTCCTACACTTCCCAGCAGCCTTCACTATCATGCTCCTCCACCCTCCCCCATAACCCCAACTCACCAGACACTCCAACACCACTATTCCTACCTGCTGTTGAGCGACTTTATAGTTACTGAGCATTTACCCTTAGCCGATCTTGACATCGTCAACCTGTTATTCCGTTAAGATCTTGAGAACAGCCCTGGGAGGTAGGTCTTGCAGATCCATTTTACAGAGGGCAAAACTGAGACCCCCAGAGGTGAATCAATTCATGGAGTATACAGTGAGCACAAGGTTGGCATTAAACTCAGGCCTCCTGACTCCCGTTCCCTTGGCACCTACTGAAGGTTTATAGGGGATATAATGATATTGGGCCCTACCCTCCTAGAGGCTACAATCTGGACAGATAAAAATAGGCACAGAAATAAAGATAAATTAAGCCAGAGCTCGACAGTGCCCCAGAGATACAGCCTTCCTGCAGTCCAAAGGGCTGAGGCCATCACAGGCGGCTTCCTGGAAGCGGTAAGAACGGATACAAGCTGGGGCCGTGGCGGGTTCGCTATCACATTGTCTCTTCTCTCATAGATACTGTGTCCGGGAATTGCTGCCGTCCGCGCAGGGGGCAAAGGCTGTTGTGGTGCAGGCTGCTGTGGAAATCGCTGCAGGGTAAGATCCAGGTTCAGACTATCTATACCTAAAGCCACGTCCCGTCTACAGAATTCCTAGCTTCCCGAGTTCCTCTGCAGAATCCTAGGCTCTACCTCACTCGTCCCTCGCACCTGCAAATCTTAGGCTTCAGCGGGCCTGACCAGAGGGGACTACAATCCCCATGAACCTCCGCGGCCACTGGTTCGTAGAGTTAGCACAACTCCAAGCCCCGGGGTTTGGCGAGAAATGTATTTTTATTGTGACTGGAGACGAGCGCGGTTATAAGAGGGACGGAGCCAGGTGCGGTCTAGACACGAGTGGAGAGGGGGCTACTCACTCCTCCTCGTATTCTGCATCCAGATGCTGCGCTCGATCTTTTGCTCCGCGTTCGGGTTGCTTGGTGGCATCTACTGCCTCTCGGTATCCGGAACTGCGCTCCGAATTGGACCCAAATGCTTAATGAATGACACCTGGGATTACCACTTCAAAGAGACCTTGTAAGGCTTGGCCTGTTTTCGCGCCCCGTCCCTCCCATTCTCTATCTCTGCCTACTTGCCTTTCCCACGGGGACCTGGAAACCTAGGCAGGACTCGGCTTCGAGATAGCTTCCTCCACGTGGGCCGAAACAGCCCTTTCCTTATCTGCCTCAGCGCGTGCGCGGGGCGGGGAGCCGGGGCGGGGGCCACTCCGCGTGACCAACTCTCACGTGACCCTGCCCCGCCCGCAGGGGCTCTTATCTGTACAACCGCACGCAGTGGAGCTTGTGCGTGCAGCCGCCTGGTATCGTCTACTGGAACGTGACTCTCTTCTCGCTGCTGGTGGCCGCCTCGTGCCTGGAGATCTTGCTGTGTGGGCTGCAGCTGGTGAACGCGACCATTGGTGTCTTCTGTGGCGATTGCCGGAAGAAAGAGGTGGGACGGCGTGGGATGGAGCTGTCTAGGAAACCTGTTTGCTCCCTAGCTGCATCCTCACTTTCTGTTTTCCGCAGGGCGCCCCCCACTGAGGCTCCACCGACCTGGTCCGTTGCTCCTGGACGCCCGCCTGGCCCTCCCCCGTCCCTGGAATAAACTATTTAGAGCTCTCCTCCCCGTCTCAGACTGTGCCCTATACAAGGAATGCTGGAAGGCCTCCAGATACGTCGGGGCTTGGAGCTCTCCTGTTCGGGGCCCTTACACCCCGCCTGTTATTTTCTTAATAAATAGTTATTGAGCTATTGGTGCGCTGGAAATACAGTGTAAACAAGACAGGCAAGTTCTGTGCTCTTTAAAGAATTTAACATTCCAGGTGTGGAACGTGGGTAATTTTTAAAAGAAGCAATAGATTATTTCAGTTGGTGATAAGCACTTTTTAAATGATTAATGGACTTTTTTAAAATAAGATAAAGTCCGAGAATGTGAAATTGGAGCTGAACTCTGGTGGATGGGCTAGCTATCTGGACAGCCCGGTCAGAAAGAGAGAACAGCAAGGACAAAGGCCCTAAATGTGACTCGGTATATAGAAAAGCCACTGAGTTGTGTAGGGGGCAAAAGGAAAACGATGGGAAAGACACGTTAGCCTCTTATGCTCTAGAAAATGAAGACTTACGAGTTTATAGCATTGTCACTCCCTAATTGGGTAGAAGTTTCTTAATGTAAGGTCACTGGTGGTTCAGAAAGGAAAGAGCCTGGAGACGACATGTCTGCAGAGACTTCCTGAACTTGTACACAAAATTGTGCTTAAGTGTGTATTTTCTGAACTATGGGTTGGTAACTTTCAGTAGGCTGCTATGGACTCCTGAGACCAAACCCGAATGTGGGCCTTGCCCAGTGCTAGGTTAGGAAGACGGAGAGACGCAGTTTCCCACCCATAGCACAAGCCAGACCAAAGCCAAGACAGAGAAGCTTTAATACCAGAGGTGAGACTAGGCTTGGGAGGGAGAGGGGGGCAATGGTATCAACTGCGGCAGCAGAAAAAGCGCGCGTCGTTTAGAGCGGTGTCATCAAGGAGGCCTTTGGGCGACTCGATCTTGGTCTGCAATCCGCACAAGCCTTTAGGGCAGGGCTCACTCCAGCCTCCAAATTCTCCCCAGTTCAGGCCGGGCCCCTCCAGTTCCGTGCCGTCGGAGCAGCGGAAGCGCACGTTGTTCGCAGCAGTGTTGTCCCCGGGGGTCACGGGGACCTCCACGCGTAGCGAGAAAGCCACGAGGAAGCCGCCGCCGGGACACCACAGGGGCTCCCTCCACGCGCCCCACCTGTGAGGGGCGCAAAGACGAGCGGGCTCCGCGGGCGCCCCCTGCCCACCTCCAGCTGGACCCAGACCTCGGGGCTTCCCACCAGGTGCTCCAGGCACCTGACCTCCCCCCGGGGTGCGGAGGGGAGGACTTCCGCCCGCTTCCCAGGTCTGAACTACCCCACAGCTCTGGGGGAACCTGCCTGCCAGGAGGGGGTGTGTGGCGGAGGGTAAGGGGCGTACCCCCACCCTAGAGGATCCTCGGCCCCGGCCCCGCACCTTCCAGACTGCGATTCCGCCACGTGAGTGTCAAGCGCCGCATTCCCCACGCAGTGCAGCCGGATCCCGTTCAGAGCGGTGTCGTCGCCAAGAGCGCCTTGTTGGGGCTCCACCTGGGCGTCGGCAAGAAGAGGAGTGAGGACGGGTCAGAAGACCACATCCTCGGCTCTGAGGTCTCCTCTGAGACCTAGGCCCGAGTCCCTACCTTGAGCGAGAAGCCTCTGGCGAAGAATCCCTCAGGACACATCTCGGGCCAGGCCCAGTCGCCCCAGGGGCCCCCGTTGGTCACCCTGATGGCCGACGTGTAGCCGCCCAGACCATCTGCCCTAGCATGTCTGCCATATGTCGCCCACAGCAGCAGCAGTAGCAGCTTGGCTCCCGCGCCCAGCTCCATCCCGCAGCCTCTGAGAGCCCCGGCCTCTTGCGCAGGTGTGTGCAAGGGACTGTGATTACGGAAGGGCAACCCGGATTAAGTGACACCCAAAACTAATCCGCTCCGGAAGCCTACAGACTTGTTCTCACCTCAGGGAGATGCAGGCTCCCAGCGCCAGAGGAGGAGGGGCTATGAAAACCGACGAGTGGAAGTAACCAGAACTTAAGAGAACACTTGCCAGCTATAGGGCACGAATCATGGTGTCTTGCAGGCATGTTTTGTTTAACTCTCAACAATTTTCGGCGGTGGGAATTACCCTTCCTATTCTGCAGATGAGGGAACTGGGGCTGCAGTGGCAAGCGATTTGCCCAAGGTCACAGTCAGCAAGCTGGGAAACATCCAAACATTGGGAAGCAGGGAACCTAAGGCTAGGGATGGAAGTGATGGCTCCCAAATCCCACCGGGCACAATGGGTTAGGAGCAACCCTAGGGACCTCCAAGATGTGAGGGAGCATCAGTGTGAGAGACAGGACAAGAATCCATGAACTGTGGGAGCTGGGAAGCATGTGGTGAGCGACTGGGGCCGCGACTCATTGAAAATCTGGGACACCTTTCCCTCTCAAAAGAAAATATACACAGAGACTGGAATGATTCTAAAAAGTTTATGGACAGGGGACTGAGAACAGGAGATGCTGTTTCTTTCATTGCTTCCTGTATCCTTTCCCTGAATGTTTTTCCCCCCATGGCCACCAGGTGGATTCCCAATTTGGGGAGAAAAAACAAACAAAAAAAAAACGGGCTCAAATTTGTTATGGGCCATTCCACCCCTGATTTGCCTGCCCCTATACATATTCCTTTGTTTATTCAATATATATTTATTTAGCAATAATGTGTTTTGGCTCAGTCAATATTGTAAGTGCTGTAAATAGAAGAGTCCTGTAAAAAGAAAAGTCCCTTGTCTTCATCAGAGCTCTCATTCTGGGATAGGATAGGGAATTTAGAAATGAGTGTTCCCTGGATCCAGGTGTCCCGTGCTTGAACTTCATAGGTTAAGATTTATGGAGCAATTGTGGTAAGCATTTCCACTGACTGTGTTGTACATGCAATATCATTGTATGATGACTGCAAAAATACCTATTAGTATCCTCAGTGTACAGTGGAGGGAACTCAAGCCCAGAGTTAACTTGAGGCCCCCAGCACTGCTCAGAGGGCGAGCTGGTTCTGACCTCAGCGTCTCTCCCCAGTCCTCAGGCTGCCTCTTACTACGACCCCGCCATACAGGGAAGGGAAATGTAAAGACGTGTCATTGCTACAGAATCTCCCAAATCCTCTTCATCCAGTCCCTCACCCCTCAGATGCTGCCCTCTGGGGCAAAGGGCACAGGGGAAGGGGACTTCCTAGGTTAATTATTAACCCTTTGCACCCTCAGGGCTTCTCTCCCCTCCTAAAGGCAGAGGGACAAGCACTGGCTAGGGGCCGCTGAGGGGGCGGTGGTCCCCTCAGCAGTCATGGGGGTCGCACTGTCTCTGCAGGTCCCGAGGCTCTGCTCGCGCCATGCAATTCCTCTCGCTATCTTCGCGCTTCTGCTTCTTTATCTCTGGACTCGGAGCCTTCGTGAGTGGTCCCTTCCCTCACCCGCTCTGGGAGGAACCCAGGAATCCGGGCTCTGGAGACCGAAGACTCCTCCTAGAGCCCTCAATTCTTCGTCTCGTCTCTCCCCAGGCGCCCTCTCAGGCTGTGGATCGGGGACGCAGACCTGCATTGCCGAGGGACCGCCGCCTTTACAGGTATGCTCCAGGCAGGACTGGGACTGGGAGCTCCAGGTGGGGAGGCGAGGGGGCAAGGTAGGCGTAGGCTGGAGGATCGTGGTGAAGGGCCGATCTTCCTCCTCCTCTCCACTCTCCCGTCT